TAACAGTTGACAGTAGACTATAATTCCGAATTCACAACGTAACTATCAAGACTCAGCTTATTTTATTTATTTTTCTTCATGTAAATACAGACAAATATTATTATTACAAACATTATACTACGATAAGACGATTCGGAACATCAAAAAAGAAAAAGATGGCATTATATTATTCATATAGCGTTATTTCGTTCCTATTTTAGTAAGGAATAGACAATATTAGGAAATCATTCGTTCTTTCAATCACTTTAGCAATAATACATTACTTGGTTGACAGGTTTGTCATGGTACGAATGTAATATTCTTAGAGGATGGAAAAAATACATGAAGGGAGCTGCCCTATCTACGAAATAAACGTACTTACCTAAACGAAAAATGTCCACCACAAATGGCGGATTTAGTGTTGTACCATAACCACAGATAAGTCAATATCGACATGCAAATGTATGGCTTGAATGTAGAAACTGTTTTTTATATTTGCAAATTTATATAGTTTACTGTAATCAAAGTATGATTAATACTAGGCTGTTATTACTAGGCAAGTAATGAGCCATTTTATCAAAAATAAATATAAAGTTATTTACCAATAAAAGTAACGATGGAATTGCATTATCATGTGATCTAGTTACTTTCAAAGTTCTATTAAAATTTGACTTTAAAATGGAGCGAAAAAACGAAGATGGTATTTGATCCAATATTTATGTTCGGCAGTCCTACAATTTCCAAGGATTCCTACTTTCTTTTTTCATTTGTAGGTAAACTTTAAAAATAATAATAATGAAATAATAAAAACCTCACAGTGAATTGTTTTAACAACAGAATATCGACAATATATCTGCTTACAAGATCAACACTATCTCAAAATAATCGTTATCAACAATCATCAAAATATACTAACAAACAGGCAATCCAAAGTAACCAACGCGAAATTCGGCAAGACTTATGAATAAAGTACTTAAATGAGTCTAATTACATGAGATATTTGGGCTATTGTATGATTTATAGGCAGAAAAATAACAGCCGGTGTAATGTAACATTCTTGATTTCCGATTTTCTACTACCGCATCCCTTAATGCTACAGCGACGCATTTTTATCAATACTTAATTGTTCTCACTGTCAATAGTTTTGTCCATTTCATGCGAATAATTCACTAAAACCTTTGGCCAAACATTGGTTTTGACATTTGATGTACTTCCCTTTGTCAACCGGATACGGTTATCAAAGGGTACTACAAAAAGGGCAAAATGAGTACATTTCACATTTAAAATGACGTTACATATTTACGTTTCCCGTGTTTGACATAAATCAATGTAGTGCTATCTCTTTAGGCTACCGACGGCACGCAGTAGTTAAACAAAGACAATAAAATGTTTATGTTTTCGCCGTCTAAATGCATCATATACATATAACATCTGATTTATATATGTCAATATAACATGTCCTTTGATTTCCATAATCTTAGGTAATGTTATAATATATTATTACTTTATGCTTACATTGAAATAAGATTGTTTTTGGAAAGTTTATGGTAGGCCCCCTGTCGTGCTAGTCCTTCTGGTGATTACTGTGGACAGAGAGTTAAAAGTAAAAGAATCAACAAATTAACTGACAGACTAAAGGTGGTGCAACAGCAAAAGCAACAGGTAACAAGGGAGGAGGTTTTCGTCCGTAGATCACTGTGTAAACATTCCAGTGAAGTCGGCCGTGCCATTTGGCTGGGACTAAAAATGTAGGCTATAGACATTGACTTACAATTATATGGACGTCTCGGGTCCGCGCTAAAAAGTGTCCGCACTTGTAAGGCGCTAAAATCGTATACAGAGCGCCAAACTCCGCTTTAAGGCCCATTTAGATGGAGAGAGTTTCTCGTCTCGAAGATGCGATTATCGAAAGAATATAAAAAACTTTCCTCGTCTAAGGATTCGCAATTATCGACCGTCCACGTGAGCGATAATCTCCTCGCCTTTCAATATTGAACGTCTCCGTGTAAACAGAACTCGAAAGCAAAAATCGTATTTCGAGTTTCTGTGCCAGCCGTTTCTACCACGAGTGCAGTGCGCGAGGGTGTTTTGATTATCACTGCTTTTCTAAGACAAGAATTAATGGAACGAGGGCGAAAAAAAAAATTTCAAATAACGGTGAGTGAGTGAGTGCCTCTGTGGTCGAATATAGCGTGGGCAATATAGTATTTAGGGTGCTCTCGTAACGAATATGGCACTCCGTTCTAAATCCAGGATGAAAAGTCGTGCCCGCACTTTTCAAATAATGCCAAGTTGGGTATCGTTTTTGAGGTATTTGGGGGTGCTCATTACGAAC